GACTGATATAATGGTAGAAGAGGAATGTAGCATTTGTATGGCAAAAAGACGAGAATACCCGTTAGGATATCATATTATTAGTGGTTGAGCAATGGTACAAATCACACTTTCATCTACTAGAAAGGGTCATGCTTAATAAATTCAACAAATAGGAAGTCAGTTACTATCCGTTAGCTTCTCTAGTAAAATTTTGCCTCCCCAAATGTCGAAAGGAACACCAAGCTTTGGCAAGAGAAGAACACGAAACCATCTACTTTGCCCAAGATGTGGCGACATGTCCTACCACAAACAAATCAGAAGATGCTCCTCGTGTGCATTCCCCGAGGCCAAGAGACGAACTCGCCGCTCGCTGAAAGCCCAACGCAGGACTGGACAAGGAACAGGACGAATGAGATATCTGAAAAGAGTGCACAGGAAATCTAAAAGCGGATTTAAGGAGCATCCCATTCTTGCAAAGCTAAGGAACTAGGCCTAAATTAAAATACTTATACACTACTTTACCTTTTTGGTTGTATGATAAGGTGCTAGTTTATTGCACCAAATAAACCATAGACAAATTACTTTTTATTGAGATACATTAAAGTTCTTGTAGATAAAGCTCTTGAAGATTTCGGGGTCTGAGAACCCAGCCATATGGTCAATAACGTCTAGCGATGTACTTGTGACTACACAGTATGGCAGAGTCTTGAACTTGAAGAACTTTCTCAGATCGTTGTACACGTTTGTTGTGTTGTCTTTGGCTTTAATCTGAAAGACAGGTAGGTCATGCTCAAGTTCCAGCAGTCCACTGTCCAAAAATGCCTGTAGATTCTCACAGGGGGAACAGTTGACAGCACTAAACTTTATTAGAAATCTACTATACTCTGCTCCTGTTACGTCTAAAAGATCGTCTGGCCAGATTTGAATGACTTTTCCTGCACAGCCTTGCTTCTCAGACATTTGAGGGATGTTTTTCGCACACCAAACTAATCGTCCAGTATGAAATTAAGAAGATTTGTAATGCAGTTAGCATAAAATGAAAAAGTGATGACGGCACATTAACAACTTAACTGAATATTGCAAGGCAGGCATGTCAACAAAGAAGAATACCACTTCAGTGCTTTACTAAAAGATGACATAGCCACAGCCCATTTACCATTGATGTGTCTATCTACCTCTTCCTCATTTCCTTCTCTGTACTGTCCACAATACCCTTTGAATACTCACCTATCTTGGTGATGTCATTTATGTCGTCATCCTGGGTTTTCAAGATCTGAAGCTGGGTACGTGCGCCAGCCTCCACTTTCTTCACACATGTAAGTATCTTACTCAACTCACTGTCCGTCTTGTTCTCACCAGGAACTGTCTCCTCGTTTAATGGCTCAAATACCTCTTCAGTAACAGCAGGCGCAGTAACATCCTCTTTCTTTCTATTCTTTATGCTTTCTATGTACTTTTCTCCCCTTCTATCCTTTTTCCACCATCTCTTAACTCCCCTGAAAAGATTGCTAAAGCTGGGGAATATGCTGGACTCCTGTCTGATTCTATGACTCACTTCATTGGCTGCTTCGGCGTTTTTATAAACAGCAATAGAACTCTCCTTGATTTTTACCAACTTTTCCCCTTGTAGCTTTATCTCTTGAATAGTCTCATTCTGTACATCTATAGTCCTTTCCATTTTGGCAAGTATACTCTTGGCTTTGAGACAATTCTGAGATTCTATTTCCTGTGCCTCCTCAATAAATGCGCCATTGAGCTTTTCTAATGAGTTCTTTGATTTCTGAATTTGATGTGCATGATTGGTCTTCATGTCCAAGGGTAACAAAACGGATAAAATCAACAAGCATATGAAATAGTGGCTGTAACACACAAATAAACACACAATTAAAGTCTTCCAGTCATATAAATTTATATTAATACAATCTATTCAATAGTATAAGTTTT